TTGTCTTAGCAAAACACTGCAGCACTGAACATACAGAGAGTAGTATTGTCATGCTCTATTCAATTCCCTTCAACTTTTTCCTTCATTTTTAAGCCCAGGCTGTGTTATTTTGATGTACTTCTTAACACTTCTCTTCTGTGGAAAAGTTCTGTTTTGTTTTCGAGGTGTTGCTGGCTAAATTCCATCTATTTTTCGTGTTCAGAAGTTCTCAGTCTTAAGATCTGGTAGTGAGATGCTACATATTCTAGAATTTCTTTTTACTGCAATAAAACATTCCTTGGAATCTGTGGAGAGGTAATTGGCTAAACATTCTGTCCAGTGTTGCTCAATTGTGCTCAGAACACTTCACAGTCTTGGGGTCTGAGTCAGCCTGGGTTGATTTTTTTTCCACTTTGGACTGTTTTGCAAAGTTTTGAGAATGAAAACAATCCCATAAACTCCAGAAATCTCATAATTGAATTGGTTTTTCCCCAATGAACTCTATAAGAAATCTACCAAGAGTTTCCTTTCATCATTGTTTCTGATAGGAGAAGGAAAAAAGTTTATTTGCAGAGGAGCTCAGTCACATTATCTTCTTTATACAGATGTGGAAGTTAAAGCAAAGAAGCATGAAGTTATTTGTTCCAGGTCATCCAACTAAGCAGTGGCAGACAAAAAATAAAAGTGAGTCCTTCAGTACTCATTCTGTTGCATCACTCTGTCTTCCTGTTTTGATAAAAACATCTGCAAAGTAATTTTCATAGGTAAGTATGTGAGAAAGATTCAGACTTCAGACTTCCTGAAAAGTCTGACAAAACCTTTAGTTATGTCACGTAAACAGGGGTTAGATAGAGTTCAAACTGAGACAAAGGCTCTAAGCCTGAATTGTGGCATTTCTTTTGTATAGATATTTATATTTTTTGTAATTTTTTCTCATAGCAGGTATAATCTTTCCAGTATCATTCATCAAAAGATACCTCAGCCTCTAGCCCCATACCTGTTGTATAACAGGATGCTCTTTCTTTTTTTCATTCTGCAGTTTTGTTTTTTACATTCTCAAGAATGGATTTTCTTTTTCCCACCACTGAGAAATGTGTGAAAAGGATGTACGTGTAAGAACAAAAGGATTATTATCCAGTAATATTCATAGTTCCATTTTAGCTCTATTTTTTCCCATTGGTTTTACAAAATTATGCTGATTCATACCAACTGGGGCTAGTTCCCTGCTTCTCTGTAGCAACGTTACTATCTCTTGTAATCACAGAATCACAGACTTGTACCCCTTCTTTTACCCTCCTCTCTGATTTTTCACTGTCTTTATTTCTGTGTCCCACGCTAAAAAAATTTCACAACTTGACAATTTGTACTTGTACTTCCTTTTCAGAGGCCTGAGTTATATTAGTATTCCTCACCTTTGCATTGTTTGTCTCAAAGAATATGTGCAATTCAGGAGTAGTTGTGTTTCCTACCTTATGCACATGTAAGAAACTGAAGAGGAAACTATATTCTTATAGCTAAGAGGACAAGAATTAGGAGACGTGACTGTCCCTCAAGGTGCTCTCTCCATAAATCTGATTTTACTGCTTGATGTCTTCATTTGTTATATACAGTATGTTGACAAAATTCTTACCCCCACAACGTATTTAATTTGTTTGGATTAGAAGCACTTGTGGACAATTAAGTATCACTACAAGCCTGACCTCTCTTAGGATTCCCAGGCAAATCCAAAGCAAAACAAAACAAAAAAATCCCCATCAGCAGTGTACTCTGTTGCATCACTAACTTGTGGTTTACCAGAGAAATGTGTGGGAGTAGGCCACCAAAAGCAGTGTTTCTAAAATGCAAGTTTTGGAAGTGTATAAATGATGAAAACAAATTAGAAAGTAAGCATTCTAGTTGGTCTATACAGAACCCAAGAGCTGTACAGTTACTTTATTCCTTATTTTAGCAAGAGAAAAAAAATCTATAGGATTAAAAATCTTATGGTAATTTTGAGGCCTGTTAAATTAAATGAATGACTGGGGGAAACCATTATCTCACTATCTGAAAATGTCAAGCTCTGAAAGAAGTATAGTGCCAAAGGAAAATGGTGACATTGGAAGATAAATACTGCTGAAATGTGGCCTGAATAGACGGAATAAATAGCATGTTAATAGCACAGTCTGTTCAAGTTATGAGATGCCCCCTGGTGTTAAAAACTTTGGCTGTTTATCTTTGTTGAGACACTGTACATGGGCAGGGCAGGTTAAAACACCAGGATAAAACACCTAAAGCATTAAGAGAGGATAAGAAAGTGTAAAAGGTAAATGGAAACTACATAAGGACACAAAGCTGCAGGATTGGTAGCAATGCCATTTAGGATCTACCTGCCATGTGCAATAAGCAGAATTAGCTGTAAGCTCCTCGGTTTTAGGTAACATTTTCAGAAGCAGGAGGGTGCTGTATGGTGATCCAGCTGGGGAAGGGGTCAGCAGCATTTTATGGATGCTATAGATGGAAGGGAGACTTGGAGAGGCTTTGGAGAGCCACAGAGAGAGGAGTGTCCTTCACCCAGATGTCTCTCTCATAGCACTGTGAGGGTTATGGGACCCCCAAATCTGCCCGTGCAGCCTTGTGTCTCAATTCCTATCACCACAAACAACAACATACCCTGTCTTCTTCCTACAGCTACTTCTGCTTGTTTGGGGCTGCTGAGAAGAGGAGGAAGCAGGGGGAGGGCACAGGAGAAAAGGAATTATTTCAGCAAAGGGAAGGGAGGAATAGAAGGTGCTGAGCCAAAGAGGAAGGACCTTAGAGAGCAAAGCTTTCTGTTCCTACTGCTGGGGTCAAAAATCACTGCTCCAAAGAACCTGACAGTAATTCCTGCTCCCCTGGCTTTCAGGGACAGCAGTGGTTGTGCAGGTAGAAAGCAGGTGTGGCCTGTGTGCCTTGATGTTTCTGTGTAAGCCAGAGCCCTGAGGAGAGTCCCTGTGTCCCCAACAGTGCAATGACTACTAGGACACGCTTTTACAGGAGCCCTAGAGTTCAGGTAGAACTTTATGTAAAGTATCACTTGTTAGAGAAATGCTAGTAAGTAATAGTAGTAGTATCTTGAATAAGATAAGAGAAAGAAGTGGAAATAAAATATTTTCAAGGTCTGAGATTAGGCTGGTTGGCAAGAGGAGGATTTAGAAGAGTCAGAATTTTCTTGGAATAGTCTTGTCAAAAAAGAAAACTTGGAGTAGGAGAGATAAACTAGAATTCTGTTCTTGCCTCTAAATTGGTAGGGATGGCTCTTCTCCAAACCTAAGTGGCAGTACTGTATACTAGGAAGTTGTTCTGTGGTGTTAGTTATCCAGGACTTTTCTTGAAATAAAGTTGCATAAACCATGGGAACCTAAATATGTATAAAGAGCAGAATCAAAATAAAGTGATTCTAAGATTTTGGGGGGGAGTTCCTGCACTATAACATATCTTTTTGTAACTGATCCTCCAACCTTGTTTTGGAGGATCTTCAGGAGGCAAAGCAGAAGATGTTTGCTGCTTCATTCAAGCAGAAAAAAAAAGAGTATCATAAGATATTTTCAATGCTAAATGAATACTAAATCTCACCCCTTTTTTCTGTTCCTGGGGGGAAAAAAGAATATATAATATTGTATCATTAAGAGAAAATACCAGTGGTTTAGTCAGGTATCTGATTTTATTGCCTACATATTTTGGAGATTCTTTACCCATGAAAGTTTTGTGGATTAGGTGAGGACAGGGAAATGAGGAAATGAGGGCAAAATCCCTTTGAATAGCGTGGTGAACAGATCGATATTGGTTGTAACAAAATTTCATTTCAGCCCTTCATTACATAAAAATTTGTTGTAAAACAATCCTAGTGGTGTTCTTACAGCCTTTGTTGCCAAAAGAAATAAGGTTAAAATTTCAGCTTTCATTGTAGTGAAAGCCTCCAGCCCTTGTGATCAGAGGAATAAAGCCTTAAAGATTTGAGAGCTCATCCTACAAGAGTCAATATAAAAATAAAAATAAATGAAGAAAGAACAAAGGGAAATGTTTTGTAGTATTTTTTAACAAAGCCATTCTTATTTTACAAAGACCAGCTCCTGGGTTTGTTAGTGCTCAGGCTGGTAACACTGAGTGTAAGTCCCAAATATGTCTTCTGGCACTGCACCAATTTGAGTTAAATCAAAATATATTCTCCATTCTCCTAAATGCAACTTCTGCTGTACCAGATTTTGGAACCAAGTTATCTGAAAATTACAAAGCAGTACCAGATGGTGACTGTAGGTTGGCCGGACTTTGCAGTCTCTCTTGTCTTGCCACATGTTTCACCACTTGGAAAAGTCCAAATTATATTGTTCAATTATTTGTCTTCTTGGCTCAATGTTCCCTTTCTTTGATGTTCTGGATGGGTGCAATTCTTCGTGTGTTCACTAGGTGGGTCCCCACAACTGTGCACTGGGGAAGCAGTTTGTTGAGTGGCCAGAACACGCTTGGGTAACTGTATCTCCCAGTCAGCTTTATTACCACTTTTGGGTTTGGCACAAGTTCACTGCACCATTCGTTTCGATGTACAGTTTAGTGATTAGAGTGTTGGGAAGTTATGCTTTGCTACTTTCTATACTAGTCAAAAAGAAACAAACAAAGGCATCTTTTCCCATCTGTGTGAGGAATTTATTGACTACAGAAGAAAAACAAGACTTTTTAGCAAAATCTTCAGAAATTTTCTTTCCAAGTGTTTTATATGAGTGTGCACTTACATTAAAAAAATATTTACCCTCTCAACCCGACCAAAACAAAACCCAAACACAAAACTTTAGTTCTCTCTCTCTCCCATAATGCCCCATAGAGAAGATAAAGGAAAAAATAATTCAGATACTAGCAGTATTTTTAATTTCCTATTAGGAAGTCATGGTGCTCTGACTGAGGAGGCAAGTAGCTTCTTTACTGTCTCGTGTCGTGTCTTCACCCTGCCAAGAAAGAGGAGCCATTAACCTGCAGGGAGCTCTATTCTGTCATGTCTGGGCTGTTTCTGACATTTGAACTCATACACTTAAAGCTATATCTCTTTATGGTGTACTCTGTAGCACTGATTTAACTTAATCATGGATAACTCTTACTCTGGGAGACTTATCTAAAGATATCTTTTCGATGCCCACTTCTTGTATCTTGGCACCTACAGAAAGAAAATCAAAGCAGACAATTTCAATTATTGGGAGGTTTGGGTTTATTTCTTTCTTCTTTTGTTCCCCCTCTTATCCAGGCTCACTAAGTGAATCTTTTTCATCTGCTTATTTGATATGGTAAGATAATTCATGTGGAAAACTATAAAGAAATGCAAATTTTGATCAAACTAAAGGTTTTATTTCTTGTGATTTATGTTTAGAGGGCAAAAAAAGGTGAAGAAAATTCTTACATTATTTATTACAAAGATACGCTGAGAACTAAAATTGATTGTTTTCTCGCTCAGTAAATAAAACTTTTATTCATTATTGACTATATTTAAAGTCAGAAAATCTTGATCTGTCAAATGATTAATGGAAGATGAGAAAGGCTGTCACAGAACACACAGAGATGGTAGTACTTAATGTCAGAGATCTGGCTCAAAATTCATCCTCAACAGTGACTATAACAACTGATTTGCTGTTTTGAGCAAGCAGGTAGATAGAACTTTCTGTGTTTTACCCAAACCAGTTCTAATGGTCTGCTTGTCCTCATTTTGATGGCAAGAATCCAAACTTCGAAAAAAGTAGCTTCTGTACTTTTAGTTATCTTATGTCTCCAAGTCATGGTTATGAGCTCCAGTAGTTATCTCTCCATTATCAAGCTCGTATCAGTTACAATCTCCCCTCTTCATCTCAGTGCAAGTGCTCCAGGAATCCAAGGCAATGAAGAGCAGTGAGAAATTCTATGAAAACCTTGGTTCAGATTTGGAAAGTTCTTGTGAGTCTGAGTCTGGAGATGATCTGGGAAGGGGCATCTCATGCTCTCCATGATTAGAGCCACCCTTGTGTGTCCCTGGGCAATTACTGTAGTGGGAGTGCTCGCCGTTTCTACTTCCAGAGCTACCAAACCACAGAGCCAGACACTCTGTATGAGGTTGGTCTGCTCACACTTGTCTGGCACCATCATTTCCTCTGGGAAAATGGCAAAAGCAAATAGCAACTTGTCTGTTTGCATGTAGGCGTGAGCCTCCTGAGAACATATAATTTGGCACCGCGCGCAAGCGAAGTTCAAACATCCTCAAGCTCTGAGCTGTTGACAACTTCTCTCAGAATAGACACGCAAACTACGCAGAGCAGTTTTGGTGCTGCCTTATCTCAACATCACCTTCAAAACCTGTAATGGTTCCCCAAGTCACTAAGTCACCCTGACCTGGGAAATGCGCTCGCAGCAAAGGGTGTTAACCTTTGCATCGTCCCCGCTCGCCTGCAGGCGGAGGGTAACAACACTTTACAGCCTCACCGGGACCCTGGGGGAGGCACAGCGCACTTCAGCCTCTGTGGGCACGGAATGCTTATGTCTTGCTGCCCCGCAGCGGCTGGGTTTACAAAAGGAATAATCCCCACAATACAGGCAATGCTGAACAATTCAAATAGTAGCAGTTCCTCAGGTTATTAGCTCTGCAAAACAGGCATTACATTTACACTGGTTCCCTGCCTACTACTCTGAATTTGAAAGCAATTAAGCATAGCTGGTGTTGTCACACCTCTGCTGCTGTCCCTCCTTTTTAGAAGGTAGCATGGAAGGGCCAAGTATCACTACTGTAATGAAATCAGGGGGAGGTAAATACAGCATATAAATATTCCAAGGCCTCTTGAGATTGAGAATCAGCACAAAAACCTTGGCTACAACTCTGAAAACCTGCAGTTGTTAATAGAGGATTAAAGTGGTAGGGCATCCTCTGGGCTATACCGGATTTAATAAATGCCTGTGAATGCAGCATTCAGTAGGACTCCAAGGCAAAGCTCGACTGTAACTTGGAGTCTGCACAGAGGGAAGAGTGAAAGCAGTCCAGGATCATGTTACTCATCTGATTGCAAAGGGCTCTGTTTTCAGTGCTGCCCCCGGGGCTTTACCTGATCTATCCAAAGAGAAGATGTCTGCCCTTCCCACCCTGCAATCATTCATACATAAACAACTCCAAATACTTTTCTGACTGTTCTGCCAGTTTCAGCTCTTCTTGCTTATCCAGTGCCTCCTCTCCTGCCAAAACAACAAACTGAGCTCGTGTGGGTTGTGGTTGGGGGCAGAGTCAACCAACAGCCGTGTGCTCGTTTCCTTTGTTTTTCACGTTTCTCTTTGGCCTTTCCTTGGGTAGAATCCAAGGGATGGATCACTGCTGGTTCCATCATGATGCAAAAGGAACAGACATCACTTTTCAAACAATGACAGCTTTATGAAGCTGAACAGTCTCAGCCAAAGTCTTGATGCTATCATCAGTCATGTCTTTCTTCTCAGTCCCTGCAGGTGACTGCAGCTGGCAGCAGATCTTTTGACAGTCAGATTCTGTATGTTATCTCTGCTGGACCAAGCCTTTAAATAATTGGACAGGAAGATCTGGGAAACAGATATGCTGTTTCAAGGCATAAATAACATCGTGCTGAGTGCTGCAGAAAGCTTTTATTTAATTCAGTTTGATTTGGTTCAAATATGGTCATCTGGTTTGGCTTGCAACCAAGATTTCTGTAGATTTCTTAGACCATCGACTGTCACATGCAACTCACTTCTCACTGTGCCTCCAGTCCTCAGCAATTCAGTGGGAATAAAAAGATGTTCTTGACTTAAAGGAAATGGAGATAAGGAGTGACGGGAAGTCAGTTTGTGAGATTTTCTAATTTTCTAATAGTAGAGATCCGTATAAATAACCAAAACATGGGACTGAAATGGCAAGAGTTGTTGCTACTCACAACAGAGAAATGTGGAGAGCGTTGCTGGTACCCTGCCATCAAATCATGTTGTGTAACAGTGAGATCCATCCCTGTGACGAAAGCCAGACCATACAAAGTAAAAACTATTTAAGCTGTTAAAATGGAACTTAAATTTTGGGTGCTCTGTCTGACAAAGTCACTGTGATGGTGAATTAGACCAGTTATAAGGAAGAAATTTTTTACCGTGACAAGGGTGAAACACTGGCAGAGGTTGCCCAGAGAGGTGATGGATGCCCCTCCCTGGAAACATTCAAGGTCAGGTTGGATGGGGCTCTGAGCAACCTGGTCTAGAGGAAGATGTCCTGCTTATTGCTGGGGGTTTGGACTAGATGAGCTTTAAAGATCTGTTCCAATCCAAACCATTCTATGATTCTACGGTTTAATTCTTCAATTTCCTTATTACCTATTGTGATGATTACTCAGAGCTTCATTTTAGGTCACAAAATATTTTTGATAGTGATCAACTTCACATTTTAATCTACAGGTATTACCCGAAGGCTATTTTTTGGCTTCCAACACACCAAAATATTTACCTAAGTGGGAGGAAAAAAAAGAAAGGAAAAAGAAATGAAAGAACCTTGACCAAGGACACACGCATTCCTGTTTGCCTTTTTTTATTCCCCCACCCTTTTTCACAAAGGGACAATTTTGTCTACCCGGCCTTTCATGGAATGCAATCTGGGAGGTGATTTCGTTTTTGCCGTGTAGAGGAACAGCACAATCCCAGCAGCGACAGCATCTCACCCCCAGTGTATCAGCAGTGCCCTTCAGCCTGAGCAGTTCACCAACAGCTCTGGACCAGGGACAGCAAAGAAGCATCAGATGTTTTGACCTGTGGCATTTTATGATATTTCCTTGCTTCCCAGAAGTCTGGGAGGCTCTGGATTCCTTGGCGTCTGGTTGAGCCAGGAAGATAGATTAACTGAAGGACTGTTACTGTTTTGTCTTGGGTGAGGCCTTGTGGGCAGCCAGTTGTTTTATTTTGTGTATTGCACAAAAGGCTCCTTTAAATCTGTGTGTTCTAGGGATGAGGGCTTAGAAGTGAGAGGATAAACTGTGGGATATTTTTTTTCTTTGCACAGCAGTCTTCACTGGCCAACACTGTTGGCAAAAGCAGGCAGAAGAGAGAAATCCCCGTAGAGCAATGCTCACGCACTGCCCTGTCATGCAAAGTTTAGGCCAGAAGGTTAAGTCCAACAGGGTACTAAGGACCTGATTTTAAAATTATCTCACTGCCTGTCCCAGCTGTTACAGGGTGCTCTTGTAGCAGTATAATGTGCTGAGCGGTTCTGAAAGTCAGGACCCAAGAGTCTAATGCTGCAGCTAGACCACAGTTACCGTGGCTTTGTGTGCGCAGGGAGCTCTGCTGACTTCAGTGGGTTTCTCCTTAGACCAAAGTGTTCACCTAGAATTGAATGTTTATCTGTTTGCAGATCATGGATGTCCTACAAGCTGTTTGAGAGACAGCCTGAACAAAGCCAGGAGACACTGTGAGGTCAGTGATATTTGTGTAAACCACACGACATGGGCTTTCTCAGATCATCCTTTTATAGTGCCACAGTTCTTACTCTCACATCTGAAAACAGAAAAATTATTGTGTGCTCACTGCAGTATATCTCTTCCTGCCAAAGCTGCCTCAGAACAGAAGGAAAAGACAGCTTTGTTATTCCAGCTATGGCTTTTTAAAACATTTTTATCTGATACAGTTAGGCTCCCAGAGAATGTTTCATGGATATGTAGCTTATTATATTATTACTGCAGTATATCTGTGTTAAACCCTCTATCATTCCACAGCCCTTTGAAATAGTGAAGGCTTATAAATCCTGATTTACAAATGAGAAACAGTAGCACAGGACTTAACCCCTGTAAGATTTCTCTTGGGCAAAATTCCCACATGGGAAGAGTCTGTTACCTTCTTTGTTCTTGTCTCAGACCACTAATGTCAGTGATGGTGAATGAACTATGTGGGATTGGGTCCATGCTGGTGAAAGGGGGTAAGGAGATATAACCTGACCTGCTGTAGTTCCTACTTATTTCAATAAAAGCTGTGAGCACACGATACTCTCAAAAGGTCTTAAATGATTTGGAGTGACCCCGCTCTAACTGCTTGTAAGAAAACTGCCAGGGAAGATGCCAGTTATTTTGCTAGTTTGGGTTCTTCCTGACTGAAAGACAGAAAATGTGGTACAACAGCAGATACAGCAGCCAGTTTGGGGTACCAACGAAGGCATTTCTATGTGAGTCTTGGCCTATCTTTGTTTTCTTATGCAAACAAAAATAAAATTGATAAGCATATTAATAACTTAATTATTAACTAACTTAATAATGTTGGCCTTCAGATTGCCATTAGGAGGGATTTAAGCTAATATAGAGGTCTCTGAATTCTTATTCCAGGTTCCTTGCACACCTGCCTGTCTGTATTGATCAAATCCTTGAGGTTTTCCTCACAGCTGTTAAGAGACAGAAACTATAATAGCTTGTGTGCATGTGTTGTATGGCCTGGTAAAAGTCCATACAGCTAAAAGAAACTCAGGTTTCAGGTTTCCAGGTTTACATATAGGTTTTTTCTGATGCAAGAAAATGCAAAACAAACTCATAATGCATTTGGACACATCCCAAACTGGAGGTGAACACACTTTAAACCCCAAGAAAATGTAAACAGAAAAGTGTTTGCTGCATTCAGGCTTCTGTCCTGGATTCTCCCAGACAGTTCCAAACTCTTTTTGGTTTTCCTGTCAAGTTTCTGGATCTAATTAGATCAATCAACGTTTCACTGATGCACTAAATGAGATATATAACATTAGATAATCTCACCAGTATAAGCTGAGATGTAAATTTGATTGTCATCTTTAAAACTGGCATTGTAGTGATGACCTTCAGTCTCCAACCCCTTCATTACTTCACTGTTTGCCAAGGAAACTTGGACTAAAACTTGCTGAGCAAGTGTTGCTTTTCACCCCAGGAACTTGTGTTGTCTGCCTGTGGCTTGGGCCTTGCAACTCAGTGGTAGATCTGCTTTGTGACTTGAGCAAGTGCCACAATTGATGAGTAGTAAGTATTCCAGGAGTTTGCCATTTGCCCACCAAGGAATAGATCCACAATGGTGAAAGGAGTGCTGTATGTCACCTGTCACCTCTGTAGAATTTGCTTCACCTCTAGAGAATATTTAGGGATAAGACCAGTGACAGGACCCAAGGGAATGGCCTGAAGTTGTCTCAGGAGAGGTTTAGGTTGGATATTAGAAAAAGGTTCTCCACCCAGAGGGTGGGTGGGCACTGGAACAGGCTCCCCAGGAAGTGGTCACAGCACCAAGCCTGAGAGAGTTCAAGAAGCATTTGGACAATTCTCTCAGGCACATGGTGTGACTCTTGGGGATGGTCCTGAGTAGGGCCAGGAGTTGAACTTGATGATCCTTGTGGGTACCTTCCAACTCAGCATATTCTGTGATTCTGTGACACTTAAACCCACAAGATTTTCTATAATGGAAAATATTACAGAAACATACAAGATGGGTTACTAAGTTTATGTTTGTCAATAAAGCCCTTCCATTGCTGCTCTGACATCTCATCCAGGCTGACATTGATTAGTTTCTGCTGTCTGTGTCAGACTTGGTTCACCTAGAAAACTTGAGAGCCCCATCTTTCTAGTGATAAAGAAGTTACTCTGGGTGTCCTGGAACAGCTGTTCCACCCTGAAGTAGATTGTCTTGTCACCTACCCCTGGTAACACTTTCCCTTCTTATCTCTGATGATATGGCACTCTGACTCATGTTAATGAAGGAAATAAGATCATTACTGTATCTCTGTAATATGTACTCTACTGTCTATGAAATACCTCATTTTTCTGTTGAACAGTTGATTAGAACACATTCTTGGTTTCAGTTTTGAAATGGTTTCGGTTTTGGTTGTTTGGCTTTTTTTCCCCTCTTACAGGTCCCTTCAGACAGAGTGCTAAATTTTGCAAATCGTAACTTATAAATATATAATGTACAATTCATAAATAATAAATTATTATTATAATTCCATTTGAAAATGCATTTGAAATTAGCTCATTTTTAGCAATTTATTGCAATACTTGAAGATAAATGGATGGCAAAACTGGGAATTGGGGTTTCTGGAAAGACAGTTTCAGGAACTCTTAGTCTCAAGGGCCTTTTTCCTTTTTTCTGCTTAGCACAGAGATGGGAGTGTTTAGCCACCAGATATATTAAACATACCACTCAAGTGTTCTTTGGCTTTGTGGGCAGGGTTGTGTATAGGAATGTACAGTCCTCACACCTTTACACCTCTGGTGTAACCTTTTTTTTTCAGGTGTTTTTACCTATGTATGATTTTGAACTTGGTACAGAATAAACATGGTCTCAGCAGGGTGTGAAGAGCTCTAGTACAGTCCTTGCATTAAAACTGCCCCTGTCTGACACAACAGTACAAAGTTCAGGCTGAACTGGATTGTCTGTTCTGATACAATTTTCTTTATCTTATCAAAGGTCCCCCAGTGAGCCAGGTGAGTCCTGACTGCTTCTTGGCCTCTGGTTCCCTGGCTCAGTCTCTCTCTTCAGGCTGCATGAGTCAGTTTGCTGTTCTCTGGCCACTGTTTTCTAGTTTTCTGCCTATTTTTTCTCTGGTCATTTTTATCCATTACCATATGTTAGGAATATTTTGGTTCATAAAACTCTGACTTGCCTTAATCTGTCTCAGAATAAAACATTTCTTTCTCACATTTTCCTAGATCTGTCTCTGAATGTAGTCACAAAAATTTTGACTGCTGTGTGTACTTACCCTGGTCATTTTGGATTCCCTGCCACCACATTTCCTATGCACAAAATCATATTAAACTGGCTAGCAGTTTCCCCACTTACCATTTCTACATTCCCAAAATGATAACTGTATATTAAATAACAATTGCATCTTCACAGGGACAGTCACAGCTGTGGTTGGCACCAGCAGCTTGAAGAAGTGGGCTGTAAATCTGGCTCGTGACATTTATTACATCTCTGTCCTCTGAGAAATATTCAAGTCACATTTTAAGACCATTATGGGCAATTTGTCCAGACTTGAGTGAGACTACTACAAAATAAAAAATCATTTTCATATGTCTAGCTCCAGTTTTATTTCTCATGATGTGTGGGTAGTGGCTCATTTTTCTGAAAGGCCTCTCTTTGGCCAACTTGGTTTCCAGCTGACCTTATAAGATTGCACTGTTTGTCTGAAAAATCAATTAAAAAAGAACTGGAATACATTTCTATTATATATTAACACATGTCCTTGTAAAGAAAGGCTGCAATCTGGGCATGCAAAAGCTAATAATTGACCAACTCGTGGTGCCATACTATTTGTTCTATTTATTTTCTTTGCAGAAAGCATGCAAGCACTTTGGAGGGACACTAAAAAAAAATCTGCAGAATATTCATACCAAGTTTAAATGAGCACATTTTAAAATGTTGAGCAATGATTATCAGTGTTTATCACCAAGGGCTCCAAAGCACTTCTAACAAAAGACAGAAAGTAGATTTTATAGGTTAATGGTAGTGCATGAAAAATAGGTTTATTTTGGCTCATTGCAAGACTGAAAAAAAAAAAAAAAGCTGAAGATCTAATGTGATAAAGGCACATGAAACCACTGCTTTGTGGTTTTGTGTTACAAGAGACAAGTTCAGCATCTGATTTCAGGAAGTTTCTGAGGGCTCCACGAGGTGCTCAGCATTTGCACAACTGTGTCTGCAAACCACTCTGACACTGAAGCTTAACGGTGACATTTGACTTGGTGGAGAAGGTCTCAGTGACTTGTGGTCACTTGTGGGGACAAAGCCAAGGCACTGCTGTGTCAGTTGTAGTGACAGAGGGATGTAGCCTGGAACTGTCATGTCCAGTGGCAGCTGAGAACTGATTTGGCCTCCACCCTCATTTACCTTCCTTAACTTGTGTGCAGTCTTTTGTTACTCACTGACTGTACTCCTTTTCCTCCAACCACAATTGCTTTGTGCCCTAGAAGTATTTCACTTCCACAGAGTTCATACCACAGGACTATTTTTTCCCTAAAATACTTTCACTACACTAATCTTTCACAGAATCATCATCACAGAATCATTGAATAGCCTTGGTTGGAGGAGACCTTAAAGATCATCCACTTCCAACCTCTCTGCCATGAGCAGTGACACCTTCCACTAGACCTAGTTGCTCAGAGCTCCATCCAGCCTGGTCTTACACACTTCCAGGGATGGGGCATCCACAACTTCTCTGGGAAATCTGTGCCAGTGTCTTACCACCCTCACAGTGAAGGATTTTTTTCTTAATATCTGATCTAAGCCTTCTCTCTTTCACTTTGAGCCCATTCCCCCTTGTCCTGTCATTACATGCCCTTGTAAATAGGGTTCTTTCTTGTAGGTTCCCTTCAGGTACTGCAAGGATGAAATTAGGTCACACCAAAGTCTTCCCTTTTCTAGTCCAATGGGTATGTGGGTGAGAATCATTTTGAGTTGCTATGGTCATGGAGGTGCCACAACTTCTTTGGCTTCATGGTACTTCCAGGAGATGCCAGGACCTCTGAAAGAGTCTCACAACGTTCAGAACTACCTCACAGCCTGTAGGACTAAGACTAAAATAAATCACTCTTATCTCTTCTCAGTGATTTTTGGGAGAACTCACCTTTCCCTCTGGACAAGGACATATGTTCTGGGAAAACATGAGGACTTGGAGCATTTGAATAGTTAACTTCTATCCATGTTGTTTTAAGGGAATAATGGTCTTTCACCCAAATGAGTAAATTCTTTAATTCAGTTTATAACTCAAAATGAGCTTGAAAGATGAGCTAATCTCTGGTGCTTTCACTACCTGCTTTGTAACCTGAGACCACTAAGATTTTAGGGTTACATTTTTTTTCTCTGACTAAGAGAGAGGCTGGGGGCTGTATTTGAGCAATGTAATGGCAGGGTAGACTCAGCTGTGATATCCAGCTGTGAATGGACACTTATTTTTTGGTAGTCATTCCTTATTGGGCCTAATTCTGAGATTAACATTTACATTCTAGGTGAGAACATATTCCAATCACCTGTTATTACCCTGTTATCATATTGAATATAATCCCTTTCATGAATACATTGCTATTGTCTTTTTTGCCCCTGTTTCTTATTGAAAATCCATTCCAGAACTTACTTGCTCTTCCAAAGAAACTTCTTCCAATTCTGTATGTTCACATGCCTGTTTTTTTTTTATGTTTGTTCTTATATCAGTTTTAGATTTCAACTTAATAAATTTGAGCTGGAGCAGAGAACGCTATCAGAGTCAGGTTGATGCTTTTTGAAAGAGCTTATAAATCTGTAATTCCAGTGGTCTTCAGTTTTCTTCAAGGAGAAAGTACATGTTTCTTCCTGCCCAGTGATGCTTTGATACCAAAAGCTTTTTATTTGCTTGGAGCAATTCTCCAGTTTTGGAGGTTTGTTTTAATTTTGCTTTTACAATTGAAATATCTGATCTCTCATAGTAGATATTAAAGAGAAAACCAGCATAAACCACCCAGAATCACCTTTGCTACTAAGTGCTTATACAAAGGATAAGCAATGAAACAGTTTTACTGTGAAAAGAATTAATGAGAGACATAATTTTTTACAGATAAGAAAATGGTATTGTTCACTCAACTCTGCCATTGAAGCTGCAATTTTTTGTGTCATTCAGTGATAAATATTTGTTTGACCTTTGATATGTACTTGTTTGAGTATTGGGATTTCCTCAGCTTCTCTTTTAGTGCTAATGAGCAGAATGTACTAAAAATATTTTTCTTCAACTTGCCCTGGTTTCATGGGACATCAGTGTTCTGGCAGGACTAAGCCTTTTGCTAAGGGATTACTGTCAGACTCTGAAGAGATGAATGGGAAAAGTTCATCTCCCAAAAGCTTAAAATAAAATGTCTGAGTTTCCACTCCCAGGAGTGGAAGTCTTGCTGCTGAGCTGAATGACAGCAAACCTTACAGATTTGAAGAATAGCATTATTTTTCATCCAAACATCAAAAAGTAAATTCTGAATATCAAGTTCCTGAGTGGCATCTGACTATTTCATTAAATCAACCACATTGTACCAAGTACTTTGCATTTTATTTTGGCAGTGGGATAGTATTTGTTTAATATGGATCCTCAAGTCCTGATAAAAACAAAACTTCCGTTAAGATAAGATTGCAGGATTAGCCTCAACTTTTGTAATTAATGGCCTGCTTCCAGCAGAAACTATCAACACTTTTTCCTCAACAGAAAATATAGTTTCCTTGAGGCCAATTCTGTATGGAATGTTTGAGACTGCTTTGAGATACATATGCCACAAATGTTTATGTCTGCATATCAGCAATTCTCTGTCTTTAATATAATATAAAATTACGTGTTCATGGTGAGTTTTACATATGGATGGTTCTCCTAGCTTCTTAATTAGTTATACATTATTTAATTACTCTTGTGTCGTATGTAGTCAAAATACAAATGTGTTACAGTTATGATTAGAAGTTCCCAGACACAAAATGCTTGTCATTATAAACTTCTAGATATTAAATATCAGTTTAGATATTCATAGTTACGATAGTTCTTAATAACTATAATTCTACTATCAGTTCAGGTAATAAAATAATTCTCAGTAGAGCTTGCTACTGTGCAATGAAAAAAATCATCCATAGCCTTGTGCCATCAGGAGTAGTGTTGATGGGTAGGAAGAAATTTGACAGAAGGCTACCTGCTCTCTCTCTCCTTTCACCCAAACTGCTGTGATCCCAAAGCAGCTCACCAGGACACACTGGAATGAAGCACCAAGACTCTTGGGACCCCTCACCTCATGGTCATCTCCCAGTGGAAATGTGTCTTGTGTGCACCACATTAGTGGTAGGGCATAATGAACGTATTTCACTCAGATCAGTGAGCCTCCACATTGCCCACACGCATTTCTATGTATACCAGAAAATAAAAGAAAATAAATTTGTATTTAAAAAGAAGACCATAAGTTCAAGGTTATACAATTCCTGTCACCTGTGAAGCTTGCAGAGGTGCCTGCAGAAAGAGACTCAGAAGTTATTTGCTTCTCACCTGATACAGGACTTTAATCTTGTCTCAGTCTTCCCCCTGCTCTTCATGCTCCTCCAGTATGTAGGTTTTGTGCCTCTCCTACAAATGATTCCTGATTTTAGTGCCCTGTCATACAGCAGTAGCACTTTCTCACACTAGGAGCTCTGCTTTGTGGCAGGATTTTAGTCGTTCATGATGTGAGGCACTGCCTGATCTTGCTGCTCTGTGAACAGGGAAGGGCACTGGGAGAGGAGGAGACGTGGCCCTTTGCTTGGCCTCAGTCCAATGTCACCCCGTGCAAGTGTCCTGTATTAGTGGTGCCAAGGGGATCAGTCATTCAACTTTCCACCAGTTCTCATGCTACATAAACACCTGATGATCTTTGTCTCTAAATTATGGCTCAGGAACATGCCCCTTTCCCAGGTTTGCTCTTAGTCTGCAGCTGGGGACCTCCCAGGGCATTTTAGGACTTTATTATTAGTGTTTATGTGCTATTTCACATTTATTTTTCCCTGAGAAGCTGCTGTTTGCAGTCTGGTTGACAGCTGTTTGTCACATATTCCAGCTGGAAGAGTTCTCTGCATTAATTCTTGACCAGTTTTCTCTTCAGCACCTGACCCTGTTGCTTACCTTTGGAAGTGTGACTTCCTTAGTCGGTGGAAGTGGATATGACCTTGACATCTGTTCTTTCCAAGCAGACCTTTCGTATCCCATGTTTCATGATTCCGGCAGACAATTGCACTGTATTGATGCTCCACTTCCCCAGCATTTTGTGGTGAGCTTCTGCCTGTGTCCTTATTCGCTAAAACAAGAGACATTCCTGCTGGCTTCTTCTGTTTGTTTGTCTCTCTAAACTGACTGTTGAATAAGGAGTAAAGAGCACAAATGGGGAAGTCAATTCGACTTCAAATAACAGAAATTCAAGACTGTTGCTCTCTGTGCTCTCCCCACAATGCTGAGTACTGAGAGAGCTGGGAAGGCTGACTACTTTCTGTTGAAAGTAATTAAGTTAGCCCAAAATGGGGACCTATCAGTTACTAGTTATAAAGGCAAGAACTCTTTTCTTTTCTTTTTATGGGAACACTCGGTAGAAAATACTCTGATTTCATGGCCAACGTAACTCTGAGGATTCATGTTACCTACTTTGTGCCTTTCATATGCTAATTCATACCTACCTAGGAATATTACAACTATAACCTCTTCATCAGTAACAGAACACAATCAATTTTGTTTGTTTGTTTTGTCTTCGATCTTCAACAACTGGAAGTTCTCCTTGAGCCATTCCTTTTCTTTAATTTGCTTTTTACCCTAAATGTATCTACTGAGCTTTTATGTCTCTCTAACATTACCTTGTAATTTTTCACTGAAAGCTATGAAGTCCAGGTACTTTGCATAATAAGGCATAATCAAAACTTTAATTTGGAAAAAATAATAAACTCAGTGAAGCTACACTGGATCACACTAACTAGCATCTGTTGAGACCTTTTTGGATTCAGTGTGGGAAGCACCTTTATGTTCTAGGGTCACCTCTAGATATTTTTTGCTTCTAAAATTGTTCTGATAAGATTTTAGGCTCTCTTCTTAAGGAAAATGATAGAGTTATTTTGAGATATTTCAAAACAAAAGTTCTTCCCAGCATGAAATTACGTTATTGTAAGTCTTTCCTTACTGTCACTTTCACCATTTTCTAACACTGTTGCTCAGATTCAAAGCTATTCTCCTGGCCTTAGAATCTGACAGAGTTGATAAATCAAATGTATTAAATCTGCACTTGCTGTGTTACAAATACATACTTTGGAATTCCGTCATTGCTGTGGTAATGTGCAATCTGGAGTCTTTACCTGGATATACCCGTCACCACTCAAGTGTCAGAATGATTTGCTAATAATCATGAGCCTTGGTACCTCCATCATTGTACTTCTGCAGATTCCTCCTTGTACAGCTCATTTTCTGCTGAAAACAGGAGTAGTTTAGTGGGACATTGTGTTGGTCTCTTGCTATGGAGGTGGTCTGCTGACATGCCTTGAAAAGACTGAGGAACAACTTCAGTTTTGTTTGCAGAGAGCCCAGGCATGGAGGGAAGCCAGGATCTAACATTTCCATCCTCTTGGCACAGGTCTAGGAGGCAGATCTCAGATGGCTTTCTGGCCCTGAGGCCAAGTGGTACAGCAAGGCTTGTGGTAAAACTCTTACCTCTGAGACAGAACACCCATGTACAAGCTTCCTACTGGCAATGATCCCTGACTGATATTCATTCCTGAACCATATCTTGGCAGTGTCTTGGAGAGTTGTAGTCAGGCTGAGCCAAAGCTCTGCAGGAACTGTGAGCAGTTTAACAACGTGGACAGTCACAGGACAGTGCTCAGGCCCATGCCCTGACACTCTGATTTTCTGGTGACAACAGCACTGGTTCTGAGCAACCCTTCCAGCGTTTTGTCCTGGGGAGATGCTGCCATGGATCTGCATCGATGCACACTAAACACCTGCTCACCAGGCTTCCCTGTGCTCAACACACAATATGGAGAAGCATAAAAACAAACTGTGCAGCACCTCAGTTAGACAGAACAGGCAGCAAGGATTAAAGAATGTGTTGGCATTGTTGCAAACAAGACTAATTTGGAAATACTGTGTTCGTAGTGCACGAGAAATACAATTTATTTATGAAAACCAAGTTGCCATTCACTTCTCCTGCTTTTCTGGTGATTGGATTTTGTTGCACACATTATTCATTAATACCATGTGACAGAATATGTTTGGATTGTTTTATGCAGGAAATGCACTTGGTAAGTGCAATTTTGCTTTCCCTAAACCGAGTCTAGCCCCTGGCTTTGGCTGGAGGTCAAGTGGAGGAACACTTCTATAGGTGTATTCTGGGACACCTTGACACCAGTACTTTGCAGCGTAAGAAATTTGAAGATAAACATGTAAAAACTATTTTCTTTGAGATCTTACAGACCATCCTGGAATTGGCTGCTTATGGTTGCCTTTGGAAACCTCACCTCTTTTTACATCTGCACCACCAAACAGTAACCAGCTGATGCTTTGGGGCAGTCTCACCCCCTTTGCTGCAGAAGGAAAGTGTTGTTCCTGCCCCTGTCCTGTCTGAGGCCCAACACATTCTGTGCCAAGGAATAAATGCTGAAATTACTGCACAGAGTAGACTCACAGAAAGTGTGTTTGTAATTCTTCAGCTTTCTGAATTCCTTCCCAGTTCACTGGGAAGAACATGGAAGTAGTTTCAGACTTTTACTACTGAAAACACTTTGTGTCCTTATGCCCACACATATCTGGTAGAACTATGCCTCTGCCTCCTTTAAATGCTCTTTTGGCTGATGTACTACATTATGCATATTGAGAGGGAAAAAAATGAAAAGCAGGCTCCTCTTGAATTCTATTTGTACTTCTCTCTGTTAATTTGCACAACTGACAAGAATCGTTCTATATGGGAAATGAATATCTTGCCACTGTTTTTGAATATAATCTGCTATATTAAATTTTGATTGAGGTTATCTGTCTAACTTGTAGGCCTATATATGCAAATCAAAAGCACTAAGTATTGTGTCTGGCTAAGAGCCAGAAATTCTGACTCACAATCAGTAGAAAACACAAAAGAAATTTTTCTATATCAGTAAGGAGGAAATTAGATACTTTAAAAGGGCTTTGTTCATTCCTTCTATAACTCTTAAGTACTAAAAAAACTTGAGGCTCAACAGCATCACTTCAGTTAATGAAATTTTTTTTGTATACAGAAACCAATATAAAAAAATAATGTCCCAGAAGGTGCTTTGATCACTGGAAGGGTCTCCTGGCTCTCAGAACCAAGAGAGGTTGTGTGAACCTTGAAAAATCAGCCTCTAGGTCTTTTATCAAGCTATTGCGGTTCAAAAAGGAAAATGTATTTTTCATGTTTGCACCTAGTCAGGTCTCCCAGACACCTTCTAGCAGAGATGACAGAGAGTATTCTTGTTTTACTCTTACAATACAGTGATACAAATGAGAAACAGAACTTGCCTGTCAGCATAGTCTACAGAACAGTGCAGGCACTAACGTGAACCACACAACGGGGTTCACGTCACACCATCTGATTTCCTGTGCCTGCATCTGTCCTTATTGGGGTCAGTACCTTGCAGTATGTGGGCAATCATGTGGAGATTGTGGCTGTGGAGCTATGAAGGTGGGAGATACTGAGACAAGCATTGCAGCTGGTAAAATGGGGAGCCTCCTGCCAATCCTTGCCTCAGTGCCCATGCCATGGCCTTCTACATGTAAAATTAATCTGTTCCGTGGGCCTACTCATTTTGAATGAACACTTCTGAAACTTTTTGATAGCCAGGATCAATTGTCAAGATGCACAAGTCCTGCAGATGAGATACTTTTCAGGAAAGTAAACCCAAAAAGCTGTCCCTACCTTTGGCTGTTCGGAGAGAAATTATCAGTCAGATTAAATCAGAGAAACAGCCTAGAAAGTTCCTATGAAACTGCTTCTCTCTTACTTCCTCTCCTCTGTGTTGTGGTCCAGATGAGAGGACATCTCTGTGGCTCAGTGGATGAAGCAGCTGCAGCAGCTCTGGAGTGACCAGCACAGTGAGCAGGAGGGAGAGAGCTGCAGGGCACAGTGTGCTGCTGGGCTTCAGGCGACCAGAGAATTTATTTCAGTAACCACTCAGGTACCAGAAGCGTCTGACAGCCTGGAGAGGAAGCACAGTAGTCAGACCACACAACCTGTCTCTTTTCAGCATAAACATTTGTCACTCTTTGCTGGTGTCACGTTCCTGGAGACCTTCTGGGGACCAGAAGCTCCTCTCATTAACCTCATTATCTCACCTTACTTCAGCCACTTGCGCTTTCCTGGCAGACCTGCAATTTCTCCTGCACATTTCCCCACAGAAGACCATTTTAATTGCAGTTTTGCTGCAAACAATGCAATTTAGCTGTCTACAGATATTTCCTCATGTTGAGTCTATATTCTACTTGACTTGAAGTCTGCTCCCTGCACTGTGCTCAGTGTCAGTGGGTAGCAGGTGAGTGTGGGCAGACAGATGCTGGGGCTGTGTCCTCTCTGGGGCCTCTGCAGAAGGCTTGTGCAGGGACTGCTGCATCCCAATACTGCATCAGGTTAATTACATTGTGCTGATAATTAAATTAAGGAGCTCTATGCAGCAGGGTCGAATTCAATCTAATAAATGTGC